TAGGGAACTGGGGAGATGTTAGTCAAAGGGTACAAAGATTCAGTTATTCAGAATGAATAATTTCTGGGTATCTAATGTACAGTATGATGACTATAGCTAATACTGTATACTTGAAATTTGCTAAGATAGTTGATCTTAAGTGTTCTCCCTACACAAAAAAATTGTAACTATGTGAGTTGATAGATATGTTGATTGGCTTGATTGTCATTCTTATTTCACAATGTGTATATATATCAAAATCATATTGTACACTTTAGGTATTTACAATTTTTATTTGTCACGTACACCTCAATGAAGCTGGAAAAATTAAAATGTAGACGACTTATAACTATATAAATTGCTTTACACTGTTAATGTTATAATTGTCATATATGTTACATCTGTGTGCATTGAAAGCCCTACCAGATGTAGTAATTTTGATCTTAAAATCAATCATATTTTAAATAACCCATAAGGAAAAAATATATTTACCCTCGTTATAGATACCCAAGTGTTGGTTGAGTTTTGCCCTTCAAAAAATAGATATTGAGTCCTAACCCCCAGTACCTCAGAATGTGCTTATTTGGGGATAAGGTCTTTATAGAGGTAACCAAGTTAAAATGAGGTATTTAGGGAGGCCTCTGCCCAATATGAAATAGGAAAAATTTGGGCACAAAGATACAAGCACACGGAGAACGCCATGTGAAGACAAAGGCAGAGATCGGGGGGATGCATCTCTGCTGATACCTTGATCTTAGACTTCCAGCCTCCAGAATGATGAGACAAAAATTTTCTGTTGCTTAAGTCACCCACTGTGTGGTACTTTGTTATGGCAACCTTAGCCAACCTTAGCCAAATATTTCCCGTTTCTGTTGTTATTCCCTCATTCCTGAGGTCTCAAGCTTCCCTCGTATTTTTCCCTTCAGACTGAGCAACTTCCTTTAGTGTTTCTATTGATTTATCTTCAGGTTCATGGAATTTTTCCTCTGTCTTCTCTGTTTTTGCTACTGAGCCTGTAATGGGTTGCATACTGTTCCCCACAAACTCACATTGAACCAGAGCCTTAGAATATGACCTTATTTGGAAATAGGATCTTTGCAGATGTAATTAGTTAAGGATCTCAAGATAAAATCATCCTGGATTTAGGGTGGGTTCTACATCCGGTGACTTTTTGTCTTTATAAGGAAAGAAGAGGGAGATTTGCATAGGAAAAGCATAGAAGGAAGAAGGCCATGTGAAGATGGAGACAGAGATTGGACTGATGCTGCTACAAGCCAAGGAATGCAAGAAGCCACAAGGAGCTGGAAGAGGGAAGGAAGAATTCTGCCTTAGAACTTTTGAAGGGCATGTGACCCCACTGATACCTTGATTTCAGACTTCTAACCTACAAGACTGTGGGAGAATATGTGTCTATTATTTTAAGCCACTCAGTTTGTGGTAATTTGTTACAGCATCCCTAGGAAACCCATACAGAGCCTTTTCAGTGAGATTTAATTTTTTGAACGAATTTTTTAGTTTTAAGATTTGGCATTCAGTTCTTCTTTAGCATGTCTATTTCTCTGCTGAGAACTTCTATCTTTTAATTTACTTAATGCATACTTACCTTTACCTCTTGCAACCTGGTTATAATAGTTGCTTTAAACTCTGTCAGATAATTAATTCTAACATCTCAGGTTAAACATCTGTTCATCGTTTTCCCCTTCCCAGCATTTAACTGGATCTTTGTATTTTGAGCAATTTTGGATTCTGTCTTGGACTTTATGAGTATTACTCTTGGTCCTGTGAAAATCTGTTTGGTTTATGTTCACAGGAAATCAACCTAGTAGTTCGCTTCAAACACAGGTCTCATCTCTTCTGTAACCAGTGTTTGGATGTTGGGGGTATGAATGTTGGCTATCCTGCCTGCCATTGGTCTCACGCATGCACAGGTCACAGGTGGGCCTGGGACTTACACCTGATCAGACACAAGGCTTAGAGGATTCCCTTCTCCAGCTCTTTTCCTTTGGGTTCCCCTATGCACTCTTGGTCTCCCAGGGACCCATTGTCCCATTCCTCTGGACAGAAGGATAGGTTTTCTTTTAGAGTTTTAGTTACTCATGATCCTGCCACCCAGTTCTGCATGACCAATTCAGTCCCTGGGCAGAGCGGTAAGGTAAAAGAGCAAAAAAAAAAAAAAAAAGACAGTAAGTGTCCTGACATCCCTCCCCAGCTCTGCCCTTCAGAGCATAGGGTCTTCCTTTCCCTGTTCCTACTGCCAGAAAAGACCTTTGTTTTTTCCTCCTCAAAGTTGTAGCTGCCTATATGGCTACTGCACATTTCCCTATTTGGGGCCACTCTAGTGGCAGGGTGAGGAGAGTAAAAACAAGACAAATAAGAAAAAACCTTGTTCAGAGAGTTTCTCCATATTTCCTAGCTCGCAGTGGACCTCTCCACCATTCTCTGTCAAAAGAGGGAGCTTCACCTTCTGAGTTGCTCATACCAGCTGGGCTGCTCAGTTCCACAACAGAGGCCTTCCGTGGATCAAATGTGAGAGACAAAGGAGGAAAAAAATCAACAGGGAACTCTCTCATGAGGCTTCCTTCCTCAATTTTTGTTTTCCCTTCCCACTCTGCCTGCTACTGTCTGCTTTTCAGATAGCTGCTTTTTGAATTTTCCAGATGTTTTAGTTGTGCTGTTTAGTGGGACAGAGAGGCTGTAATAGACTTGCTATATTGCCTGGCATCGGGAGTGGGTCTATCTTTTAAAATTTCTTTTGTTTATCTTTCATTTCTACATGATTGCACAAAGCGGTGCTTCAAAGTCTTGAGTTTAAGCCATGCACAGTGGTATAGGCCTGTAGACCCAGCTACCTGGGTGGACTGCTTGAGCCCAGGAGTTTGAGGCCAGCCTGGGCCACATAGCAAGACTCCATCTCTAACCAAAGAGAAGTATGAACTTACAGTGCCGTCATCAACTGAAAATATTTGGTGCTTAAAAAAAAAGCTGTTATTTAATTTTTTTTTAATATCTGTAACGCTAACAGAAAAGATTCCTTTCAAATACTTTGCAGTGTATCGAAGTTATTGGAAGTTATGTTTTGATGATTATATGATCATTGTCTAGCATGGAATCTGGTTTATTGAAGATGAAATTATTTTTATGAAGTTAAAGCTCTAGCATTCATTCTGGTCAAGTATTCTGGTTGCACAAATAGAAAACAACTCCAAGAGGCTGAAGTAAAATGGGAAGTAGTTGTATGGTCTCTGAAATCTCATGGAATCCAAGAACAAGAAGCAACAGGTTCATCTCAGCTTCCTAGCAACAACATTTGGAATTTGGAGTGCTGGGAGAAACCAAGGCAGCTTCTTTCCCATATGATTTTTTTTTTTTTTTTGGTGGGGAGGATTGCATGATTCCTTACATTTATTACTCTCTATTTGCTTAATCCTCTTTCCTTTCTCCACAAAGTTATCAGCTTCTTAGAGACAGTACTGAGTCACTGCATCCATCTTGCCCAGAGCCAGCTCTGCCTCAGGTTAAAATAAATTTCATTTATGTTGAATCAGTCCATTTTCTGTTCTATTTTAGGCAGTTTGAGTTGGCTCAAATTGCAAAAGAAATCACCCTAAAAAACTATTTGCCTCTTTATCCTATTTAAGGTTCCATCAGTTTTGAGATTCCAACTCCCTTCTCTTTCTCTAAATTTAAAAAAAAAATTTCTTTTTTTATTTTTTTGAGACAGAGTCTCGCTCTGTTGCCCAGGCTGGAGTGCAGTGGTGCAATCTCAGCTCACTGCAACCTTTGTCTCCCAGGTTCAAGTGATCCTCCTGCCTCAGCCTTTCGAGTAGCTGGGATTACAGGAGTACGCCACCTCGCCCAGCTAATTTTTGTATTTTTAGTAGAGACAGCGTTTCACCATGTTGGCCAGGCTGGTCTGAGCACCTGTTAAACCCAACACTGTCTTATATATTTTTCATGTATTCACACATTTAATCTGTGAGGGTATGCATGAGGTGTGTGAAACTATTTTCCCCTTTTTCCATATAAGGAAACTGAAGTCTAGAGAAGTTATATAAATATAGTTATGAAATGGCAGAAGCAGTGCCAGAACCCAGGTTTCTCTTACTCTAAAGCCTAAATTCTTAACGCCTTCACTCGAATGTCTCCCAGAAACTATCAGGCAGTGGTCTTTTTACCAAGGAAGAGTTTGTGCTTGGTGTTATCAACTAGGAAGAATGGGGAAAAAAAGATTATTTCCAGGGAGCAGTGAGAGCCAGACCATCTCTAAAATATATGTGTGTGTGCATGTGTGTGTGTGTGCCTGCGTGTATATGTTTCAGGCGTGGCGTCTCCATGGTTTCTTTGAGTAAATATGAAAGGTGATTTACCTTACCTAATTAGATTAATGGAATATTAGCTTAAGAGTTATTAATGTTGGTGACAAATATCTCCTTTATACGCAGTGGCTCTAGCTCACCTGTTATACCTGAGAACAAGTAAGCATTGCTCACCATAACTGTTTCAAGGTTTGCTTTTCCTCATGCTTCTGGACAAAGCACACAAGATAATTCACCTGGATGTGGTGGGAAAGGTCACTGCTTTGTGAGGGCTGACTTGGAAGACTGTGGTAGGTGATGTTAAACTGTGTGTGTACACACAAGCTCTCAAAAGTCACATTGTAGTGGCAACACAAACATACCCTGCAGGGTGGCACACCAGCGAAGAGCCAGCTGGGAGCCCAATCTTTCTTGGCATCCTCAAGGTGGAGTTGATCCTAGTACCAACTACTGTCTTTTTGGTATTGGCCAGAGGCCCTTGCAGAGATAGAAAACACCTGGCTTAATTTTCCAAGCTGGGGCAGGATGGGTTAGCACGTTAGAAAGAGAGAAAGGTGATGGCAGGACTCATCGCTTGTTTCTGTGAGTACAGCAAGACTGATCCAGCAGTCAATGATGAACATGGCAGGTGGTGAATAAGCCAGCTCCTTACAGCACTCCTGGAGTTGATGCTTTTCTTTTGGCTTCCATTAACCTTCAATAACTATGGGATTCCCAAGGGCTTTAGCACAGGTACAAAGAGGTGGAGGAATTAAGCAATAGCTTAGAGGAAGCAACAGAGTTTTCCCTATTGACTCTCCCTTTCCCCCTTGTCAGCAATACAGTGAATTGACAGATGTTTGTAGCTTACTGCAGCATTTGGTTCCAGCTGTGCACACGGCATGGGTAGTAGTGGGAACATTGTGTTCCCCACCTGTTCATCATGTTCAGACTAGCGAGTGTGTGTTTAAGTACAGGCTGTGTCCGGGGCGGGCAG